CCACCAGCATCTTCCCATTTTGAATCTCATGAAAATAAAGGAACAATATGGCTGAACTACAAGGACACTTTCACTACCTTAACTGTCATTTAGTATCAAGAAATTCTCCCATCATGTGGCTACATGCTTCTGCCTCTTTCCTCCCACCTATTGGAAATTTTAGCGCCAAGACCTAGAGGAATCCAAATCCAAAAACCAGTCCTCACCCATAGAGCTTCCAGCAAAGGTCAGATGTACAAGCAATTACATGCACTCTCACTAAAGTAGAGGACAGAGAAGCACCCACTTTGGCTTTTTAGAATGTGAGAGAGAAGAGTTCAGAAGAAAAAAGAGGAACTAGCAGCAACACAGAGAGCTTTCGGACAAAAAATTATAAAAAAAAATAAATATTTAAGAGCAATCCCTCCTGGAAATAGAAATTACCCTTTTTGCCTAGACACCTAAGTCACAACACAGCTGAGCAAGCTACCTGACAACAGAGGAAAGACAAAAGCCATTAGAGGGGAACAGGGATTCAGGAAGATTTTTGGAAACTCTTCCATTTCAGCAAATAAATTATGGAGAGGGATGCAGATAATCTCACTACTTGCTGCTCTGACAAAAGGAGGCTGAGCTAAGAAAAGAACTACGCAACGGGCCATCACTGTTTCTGTGGTACAAGCTGGCTTCCACCGGCACTCTATGATAGCTCTCAGGCTTAGCAATAGATTTCATACCTTTCCAGTGGGAAGGTTCTTGCAGGAAAAGGTTACATGAAAAGCCAGAGCCTTGAAGAAGCAGGAAAACATGACCAGAGGGACTGAAAGTTTGACCACTAGATGCATATTCCCCTTTCACTTGCTCTCCTCAAAAGTCAAGTGAAGCAAGTATTGCTCATGTTTACTGAACCTTTAGGGGTCATTTATTAATCAGCAGAAAAGGAAATAAGGAATATTATCAAGAGAAAATAAAGTTTTGCAATCTGACTTTAGCACGCAGCTGACAATTTTTTTTCTTTCAATATCATTTAGCAATATGAAGCATTATGACATATTAACACACATGATGAGGAGGAGAGAATTTGCTTCCCAAAACAACATTCCTCAGCTTGCTTTTTTTTTTCTCCTTTTAAAGTTGGAGCAGATATCACTGTGGAACAACCCACTGTAAGAATTAAGCTGACTAGCCCATCAAAGCAATAAGCCAAAATAAAACAGTCTATTAGAGATACACTTATTTGATCACGTCTAATTCCAACAAACTACCATAAAAGGGGTGTTACAAACTACCCGGTTCAGGCAACAGCTGCTTCTCAGGAGAGACATAAAAAAAATAATCAGGCAAGCTACCTCTGTCTCTCCGGCAACAATTCCTGCAGAAACCAGATATTTCTCCTGTGAAACAGATCTGTTAGCCTCACATTGCTGTGAAATCTTCATATGCCTTATTTGCACTTCCCCAACAGCCCCATGTTTTCTTTGCTTCCTTTGGTTACTATCATTATTCATCAGTATATCGGACACTTGGGCACTGGGCTTCCAGTGTCATGCTTGTTCTTGTGGCTGCACAAAAGAAGATCATGCAAAACTGGTACCAATACAGTCAGCCTTAACACTGGTACTTCTAAGAAAATGCCTGTTGCTCAGTGAACAATGAAGGCTTTTAATATGTTTTAGAATCATTACTGTAAAAAAATAAACATATAAGGAGAAGGGATGTTACTGATTCATTAGTGACACTGGTAGTGTCACTACCAGTGACATTCCTTCTCCTCTGAAGTGGTTTCAGCATCCCAGTGCCATTCAAGTTTCCAAAGTATCTGAGCTGCAGAAGATCTGACATGTAAATTTCTAATCTTCTGTAAGTAAAACATACAAGGGAGACACCAAAGAACAATCCCTGCATTTGAGCACACCCCTCCTCCCCACCCTCCCTTAAAAAAGCTGCATTAAGTGAAATAAAATGTACAATCCGAAACAGAACTTTGCCTGTTAAATTACTGGCAGGAACTCCTGCTACGCCCAGCACTGCCGCTTGCAGGGGCTGGTTAGGGCAAACAGAACCTGGCCTATAAATGGAAGCTATTGCTCTGTGCTGCCATACTGTTGTCCCTCCAGAACTGTGATAATCTTGTTGGAAGATCCATGCCTTTGCTGAAACAGCCCATAGGATCTGCCAGTTCCCATCAAAACAGAAGTGGAGGCTGTGTCTAGCCACACTGTGAAGCAGAATCACTACTGATCCCACAAATGCCTGCATCCTGTCCTGGCTGCTCTGTGCAGTGTGACAGACGACTTCTAGCTAAAGGCTGTACCTTCATAGACTGCAAAGAAGCCTTTGCCCAAGATGTTACTGCTGCTCCGAAACTCAACCCACAGCCTGCTGTCCGTGGAGATTACCACTTCAGGGGTCTTGTCGCCACAAAATCTACCTAGAAAGCAAAGAGTCACTGGTTAAAGGAACTGTGCCTGTGTAAAACACACTTTCACTCTCACCACTTGTGCTTTTGAACAAGTTTGGTCACCCACTTCCACCATTAACTCATGTCCTCTTCAAGTATTACGTTAATAAAGATTTTCTTCAGCTAGGAGCAGAATCCAGTAGTCACAGATGCAGCCTCTCTTTC